AAAAGTATCCCAAATACTGACACTGTGGTAGCATTCTTTCGAACTAACAATACTCTAAACTCTAGACTAGTAAGAATCAAAGAATCAATATCAGATGAGAAACAGTGAAATTGCGAACATAACATGAAATGTATTGACTGTAATCTTCTATATGTATGTGAGTTATTATGACAGTTGAACGTGATGGTGAAGGAATGCAAACTTTGCCTTAATCATATTCCTTAATCCTCGAAAGTCAGTAATAGCAATTCACTCAGTAAAAGCTGACCATATATAGTTGATTTTAATGGAACTTTGGTTTATTCGAAAAGTGACAAATAGCTGCAACCCTGCAGATTCGAGGATGTCAAAACAGTATGAATGAGAGCACTGAAACATGATTAACTATCTCATTGTAACTGATGACTAACGTGTAAACGTGAACTTCTGATTACATTTTAGACCTTTTAATTCATCACATATTAGATGTTAAACATGGATTACTTTCACGTGCTTTAATCAAGTCGGTTTATCTGAATATTCGGTGATAAATCAGGTTGACTAACACAATAACGAAAATTTTTATTTCTATATATATTTACATTTTTAAATATGCTGTGACATACTCGTTTCATATCATCTATAAAACTATTTGATTTCATTATTAAATCACTAATCAGACAGCACAGAATCGATGAACATTTTTTCTCTCACAAAGGATTTACCTACGCATTCATACGACTCTTATCTTAGCATAATTTTCACACTACATTTCTCATACTACTAATAATCCTACCTTAAACATTGTTAACAGGAATTTTCGACCCGTTTACTTGACAGTGATCCGTAGAATCATGTATTTATTTTTATTCGATAATTTCGATGCTTGATTATATTTTTATGAAAAAGTTCAAACCAGATTGCCTAACAATAACGTTAGATTTAGTTAAAATTTAATTGCTGGAATTTTTGAAAATATTATTTTCCATAATGTCTTACATTAAATCGGTGCCCAAATACTGTGAATCTTGAATTTTGGTGAAAGTTCTTATAACTGAAGTAAGGGAATTTTTGAAATATCGTTACAATCCATTGTTTGTTGTGCGACTGAAATGTCGAACGCTTTGAAAACTTTTGAATTGCACATTTTTGAGCATGGTGTACATGAAAATTGATGATTGTTTATCATTTCACAATATAATTTAACAACTTTTGCAACTCATAGAAAATACTGACACTTTAGATCCAGCGAATACAGCCTTCTGGAAATTCCATCTCAGCCGCAGACGTTTATTGTTTGACAAAATCGCTACATGAATTTAGTCACCTTAGTTAGTTTTTGGCAATCTATATCACTTTGTGCGTAGGAGTAATATTTATTTACCGACAAAGAACGAGCATACTGAGCAGCCGCTTGCTTTATTCTATTTCATGATGTTGAACTTGCCCAAAAAATGTGAGACATTTGAAAGTCATTTGTATTTGGTCACGGATACCTTTGAAACACTGCTGGCGTATACTTGGGTCATCTAGCGAGCGATACTGAAGTCAGATGCACGGAACTAGACAAACATAGAAGTCATTCATTTAGTCAGTTAAAACGTAGAACTTCGTACGTACATACATGAGTTCAGGTTACCATATCACATTAACACAGAGATGCAATTGTCAATTCAAATCCTATAATAGTAGAAATAGTAGAACTATCAGCAGTAATCGGAGATATGAATGTTCGAAGATTATTATTAAAAAAAGTATAATCTAGTGAAATAAACTCAAAAAGAGAAAGATAGACGTAATGAACAATTCAGAGAATTAGGATTTGAGAGAACACAAAGAACGGCTGCATCCGCGTCACTGTAAATGTTGTTCAGATATGTCATTCAGAGTCTCTAACCATCGGTTAGTATTGTCTCTCAGGCCCTAGCCAGGTTGTCTACACCTACCAACATAACTAAGTCCACCTGTCAGTGACTTTATGGATTTGTTCCATGCTTTGGTCTGGCCTCCATTAGCTTTCCTTCAACCTACTCCTACACCACAAAACATCGCTCGACGAGGCAGTTGGTGGTTGGGCATTCGTAACATATGTCCCGACCTTCTCAACTGACGAAGTTTCAATACTTCATCTATTAATCTGCAATCCTTACCTAGTACCAGTTTCATAACAACAGCATTGCTTACTCGATAGTCCAAGGATAAACGTGCAATGCTTCAGAGACACTTATGATCGAAAACCAGTAACCTACGAATGTCCTCTACACTGACTGGCCATGTTTCGCAGCCAAAAAGTAGGACGGAGCAAACTGTTGCACAGTGAACTCTTCCTTCGGTTAGCAAACGGATATCTCGTCTAAGCCATAAATGACGCAAGTTGGCAAAAGCCATTCGAGCTTTCTGTATCCCTGCTGAGATTTCATCAGCCACCAGGCCATTAGCACTGATGAGACTCTCGAGATAAGTGAAGTGGTTAACACACTCAATCGCTTCACTCCGTATCACTAGTTCAGGTGCCGATGCAACCCAATCCTGAAGCAACATTTTGTGTTTCAAGGGAGAGAACCGCATCCCAAACATGCTTGCATTGTTGCTTAAGGTAGTCAGAAGACTGCATTTTGTCAGCATCTTTACCAAATAGAAATATGTCATCGGCATACTCTAGGTCAGCAAGCGTGTCTCCCTTTAGAAAGTCCATCCATGAAAATACGGACGGAGATAGTATCAACTCTAAAAGCATGTCCACGACAAAGTTACACAAGGATGGAAGGAGTGGACAGCCCTGACGGACACCAATTGAAGTAATCATTTTCGATGACAGTTCGCCATAAGCTCTGACTCGACCAGTAGTGTTCGAGTAAACAGCTTGATTTACTTTTTCGGCACACCTTTCAATGACAGACACTGCCACAGAATCTCATGATCGGCAGAGTCCGGGACTTGACAAAGAGTGAATATTCGGTCGATAAATCCACGTCCAGGTCTGAAACCAGCCTATTTTTCTCGAGCCTGCTCTTCACGAGCTGTAGGTGGGCTCCGAAGTATTATCGAGAATAACAATTTAGATACAATTAGTTAGACTGATTTCTCGGTGATTGACAGAAGAGGACGTTTGTCTTTTCTTATAGACTGGGACAATCAGTGATTGAGAACAGTCAGATGGGATTATGCCCAGTTCTCTGATTCTACCTACGATCTCAGTCAATTTAACTGCCAAAAACTGGACCACCATCTTTAGAAATCTCAGAGTTAAGCCTGTCAGGCGATGCTGCTTTCCCTAGCTTCAGATTTCCCATAGCTTTTTCAACTTCATTAACGGTCGGAGGACTTACATAGATTTCCCATTCAGGTTGGCTGGAGATCGTGGACAACTGAAGTGGGGCTGAAGGCCAGTTGAATCGGTCCCTCAAGTGTTCTACGCATCGATTCTGTCTCCTGGGTTGAGACATTTTCGCTATTAGATGGATTCTTGATACCGGTTTCCTTGATAAGTCGGAATAGTTGTCTACTGTTACGTTTCGCCGCTGCCTTTTCTATCTCTCTCGCCACCCACCATTGTTTGCGGTCATTGCGTAGACTTTTATAAGCTTGCACCCATGCTGACTCCGCTCTTCGTCATGTTCAGAGTCAGATGTGATCAGTTTCCGAGTGCCTGTCGGTTCGTTAGATGCTACAGAAATCCACCATTTCTCCCTAACCTTATGGTTGAACTTGCCAGCTGATATTACTGCTGTTTCCAAAGCTTTTCGGATGCCATTCCAACCCGCCTTAGTGTGGGCATCACTTTCATCGTTGCCTGTTTTTCTAGTTGTTCCAGAAATATATTCTCAGGTGTTCTATCATTAAGTAGAACCCTAAGAGAATTCTTTGTGATCTTTCTTACATCCTGTATGTTGTAAAGAAATACGCACTTGCACTAGAGCATGATCTGAATCCAAACAAGTGCTTCAGAATGGGCGGCAGTCTTCAGCGAAGCGTTGGGACGACTTTAGGGGTCGCCAAGTTAAAAGATGATTTTCCTTGTTCTTTAGTTAGTCAGCAGTTGCCAGAAACAGGTGGTTATCTGAGCACTGCTGCATCAGACGATCGCCAATATCAGCCGCGACACCATAAGATCCTACCAGGTGTCTTTCCTTTCTTATGATTCTACCTACTTGAGCATTGAGGTCACCAGCCACTGTTACTATATCAGAGCGCCTAACGTTTTGAGGAAAGTTAGAAGGGTTTCTTTAAAACTCGTCTTTTTTCTCATCCTAACTGCAGTCATTTGAAGCGTAGGTAGAAATTACGAAGAGGCAACGGCGAGTTTCCCTATCTTTCCGAGTCCTTACTCTCCCGTTTATTCATACTATGCATAAGCGACTGCCTGCCGGGAGGCAGTCTAAGAGACCTAGTTCTGCCCTCTGATGCAAGTTGTTAGTGAGTATATGAATCTTCACTGATTGAAGTAATTTAGATATGTATGCTGTACGCCTATCCACTGACTACTTTCATGAGTATTGATGGTTAGTATAGGCATACGTTTAAGGCAAGCTAGAAGTGGCTACATTGAAATATTGTATCAGTTCGTGGAGTCATTTACCATGAGTCTTGGCCATGTAAATAGGTTCAGACTACGTCAGAGGATTCTATGATTTTTGCCACTGATCTTTAGGACTTTGGATGACATGACTGTAATTTGTTTGCAATACCGGTCATGTATTCATTCTCTTTCTTCCCACAGATCTTAAGTTTCGTTTTTATCCTGTAATATTTTAATTTCACAAACCCACATTTTATTCTAAAATTGGATCTTCTATTCCTGTTGTTTTCTACTGAGAATGATACTGTTGACCTGGTTATTTTGCTGCGCTGATGAACCATCTTGTAAGGTTCAATGTTGCGTATTATCGATCTGTTTAAACGAATATCTTACAGAAATATATCATTGTTCGATCAATACATTATCACTCTTGTCTTTATTAGCAATATTAGAAATAGTAAGTTAAGAATTAAATTTTCAAGTAATTTACTCTTACTTAAAGGTGATAACGAACGTTCATCTTGATCCAAACCATATACAAATAAACGTTATTCGCTCTGGGTGCTTTGGGAATTTGGTGTTACTTGGTTTACCTGATCAGCCGACAAATTGGACATACAATGATTTATTACAGTTCCCAATGTATTATAAATATATCGGATCATGGAGTCAATCAAAACAGCAAAATATAACAACACTTAACAATGCTACACGTAGTCTCTACTGTAAATTACTGTATTCAAGTAATAAAGACAATTTCGTTGCATTACAGTCAGACGAAGTTTATCTGTTTGTCAGTACTACATTCTCTGGCCATATATTACATCAAGAAGTCAAGTTATCCATTTCATTGAATCAGCTTAAATTATGGAATGATATAGATAATAATGAAGAAAGTGATTTCAAATTTACGACAGAAGAATTAACTGTCGAAACCGGAAAGAGTGTTGTCGTGAAACCAGATTATCTTTCAAAAAATAACGATACGCGAATTTTTTCGCAATTACCAATAATTGTAAATCAGGTAGGTGTGTACGTGAATTCATTCACGCCTTTGTAGTAAAATAAAGATTCGTTCTAATTCTGTTGAACGAAATGTGGAGAGTTACATTAAAGTCCGTAAATCTGTATTGCTAATAGTTACAATTCATTTCTTTAGAAAGCTAAACAATCTTGAGTTGTCCTGGGAGCACTTATTCAATTCGTTTCATGTGAGGATATATTCTTGTCAAAAACAATATAGCATACTTTATTCATCCTACACGATAAGATGTTTATATTCATGCATTCAAGCCCTAGAGTTCATGACTGAAAATGATCGTTCGATCACGAAAAATAAGTAATAATACTGTATAGAAATCCACGAAGCCTTTTTCATGAAGCTAGTAATGATAAAAATACCTAGTTCCTTGATGAGATGCTCTCTCTAAAATTACCGAGCATTGAAAACCCTAAACATGGTTCCTCTCCATTCAGTCCCAACAATCTCGTTCACCATGATATGAAAATGGTTGGCTTTCTCTAAGTATTTAAATAATGCATAGTGGTCATTAAAATCAGAATACTAACTTCTGCATTGTAGTCCTATGGTGTCTTATATTAAATACATTTTAAAGAAACGCGATAGAAAATGTTTATCAAATTTTGTTGAGAGGAATAAGATGATACTTTAGCATCAGAATTCACTTCTTGACTCTGTTTTGTAAGTGAAATGCTTCGGTTATCCACTCTTGAAAATCGTCACTAAAAATGTGGTCTTAAGATTTATCAGTATTCTGTGTATTTGTGCGTAATATCATATTTAAAAACCATAGTAATCTACTAAATTCTACACTTTGAATTCACGTCCAAAGATGTTAATATCTAATTCTGATCAATCTAGGGATTTTGGGGACCTTACCCGCTTCTCTTCGGTATTTGCTGCTAGCTAGTAACTAGCTTCATGAGGAATTACTCGGAGTTCTAATGAGAATACGTGACCAGTGGAAATCAACCCTGTCGGATGTAGGCCGTAACTACCAAAGACAGATGAGAGAGGTTGCACGAAATTTCTACATTGATCATAGTTCAACATCAACACCGCTACATGTCACTCAAACGGTCTAGAGATTAGACGTTCATGTACAAGTCCGAAAGTCCTGGTTTTGAGTGCTGCAAGTGTCATAAGTCGTGGATGCTCACTGCTGATGGGTTCTAAAACAGGACTAAACGACCGTCCAGTGTTTCCAGGTTTTTAATGGTGGTCTAACAATGACTGACTGATGATTTCAATGTGTAAAAACACTGATCTCCATAACATAGGTTGAAAAGTATTAAACTTTAAAAACCATATTATTCTACCATACCATTTCTGAAGATTTCAAGTATATTATGAATTGCTTAATGAAATGATTACTAACTAATTACTAACAAAGCACTAAACAGACAAGCATTTTTCAGGCGTTAATATAATTGCAAGTAATTAGGCCAAGAAAAAAGGAAGTCACTTCCTAACTTGTGTAAATTTTTTTACTTCGTATTAGATGATATATTCAATGCATTATTTTTGTTGAGCCATCATTGATGTCGATAAAAGATGGTGATTCATGAATGAATAGAATGGAAAAGTAATTCAGGTTAATCTATGTAAATTACTCATCTGTTCTGTCATTCTTTATTGGTTTACATACAACATATATATTCAAATCGATTAAGTAATGTCTATGAAATAGAAATTGTCTCAGTTTGTAGTTATTTTTGAATGTGAATTAAAATTAAGCAAAATATCTTTGAAGCGCTTACCTTACTATTCTTTTATTTCAGGCTCCTCAATACGGGATACTTCAACTTTTCACTGCAAATTTCAAAATGTCACCTATTAAATATTTTACATTAGCTGATCTATTTTCTGGAAGAATATTGTACAAGTCATTGACAAATCGATTGAATACAATACAAAAACATAATAAACAAATTGTATTAGTTAAAGACTGTATGACAGTTGTTTTATATAATGGTCAATTTCAATATGAAATGAACAATTCCATATTAAATCAGCTGAATAATGAGACAGAAATTCAATCAAAACAAGTGATCTGTATTTCAATTATGCAAAATGGCTTAGATGTAAAAGTAATAACAAAATTATTATTTTAATGGAATCCAGATTAATCTCATGTTACAATTTTATTGTGATAAGCATATTTTTAGTGTAGAAATTAATATTGTTTTTTATTGTTAGTGAAACGTATACGAAATTATTTCGACTTCATTTGTCAGTATTAGTTAGCAGCTTTTGTTAGTTTTATTAATATAACATTACAGGTGATATTTCTTAAGAGAAAATAAACGGAAGTGTATTCAGTAACAAAAATTTATCATTTTCATAGAATAGGTCACATAAACAGACTGATCGATGATAAAGCTTACTGTTTACTGATCCTGTGAACTTCAGGTAAGGAACGAGAGAGTATTGTGTTTTTATGTACCTTCCGTCATCATTCATAAATACTAGTTGTCTTCAATGATTCACTCTTTATTGTTTTTGTTTTGTCTTGATGAGATTATCACAGATGAATTGACCATATATCGTAAAAAAGTCGTATATTTAGATAACAATTACGTCCGACTTAAATGAGAACTTATGATCAATAATTTTATGTCAGGTTTGTTTCACTACTATAAAACTACTTGAAAAGAATGAATTACTAGTGGATCAAATGATAGTTTTCAGAAAAGCAATGACGAAGACTCCGAATAGTTTTAGTTGTCAGATGTTTTGAAATATTTGATAGTGATTTTTACTAGTTGTGAATATCACTTTGATTGACTAAAATCACTTTAGCATAATTCCTAATATCTAAATGTTTTCTTTTATCGTTGTTGGCGTGAGACTCTAAATGTTCATTTTCATGCTCGTCATGGATTGTTTATAAATTTTAGTTTAGTATGACATTTTGAAATTTTTGACCAAAACAAATAAAATTACTCCTGTGATTAACTTTTTCGGCAGAATCATAAGTTAACTTCATATTTCGATAATCTCATCATATCCGTCTCACTAACGATGTAACGCAGGAGACAAGATATTTTGTTCACTGCGTTCCATTTTTACAAAACAAACTCTTAGAAACGTTTATTAAATATTCTTTAGTAAGCTGTAACATTATTAGTGTAGGGATGACACTCGCTACATTTCTAACCATCTACTTCAGTTTAACATACTGAATAAAATAAAGGTAACTTTATTGTACCATTTTTATGTCCGATATCTGAGAAAGTATTATTTATTTTCTGTTGATTTTTTTATTTCAACACTGAAGCATTGGAATTTAGCCCTGGAAGCAAAAAACTATAGGTCATTGACTGATTCAAAATTGGCACCAATCTTAAACAAAGAAAATCCTGTGAGACATGATGAACCATTCATAGAAAAAAATATGCATAGTTTTTCAATGACGAGTAAAGATACCGAATATGATATGATTCAGTTAGCGGGTGGTATTTTAGAATTGGATCCACCATATACACAAGATAAAAAATTCAGTATCAGCAGCAATAATAAATACAACGGGGATTACAATAAAAATATAAAAACATTGTATACAGTGAAAAATGGACCAAGTTATGGTTTAATAATTTCAAAGAAGTAGGTTATCATATGTTTTTAAATTATATGTTTGTTTGCGATCAAAGAATACACAACCATATTTGCTTAAAATTAACTTAGCCTCTATCAACCCGTTGTTTTTGTTGACACTACCAGATTAATACTTGGATGATCGTATCGAACTAATTACGATCTGAATTTTTAATTAAGAAATTCGTATTTACTTTTACCACATCGATTATATATGTGATATCTTAAGTGACAGTGATTTCATGAAAATGATTTTCAATTTTTTGCTGATTACAGTTGTAAAATATGCAAACGTTACAATACAGTATTCATCTAGAAACTTCGTCATTGGTTAAACCTCAGTGCTCTGAATATATGAGAATTTCAACTTATCAATTTATCAAAGATTCTAAAGAAAATTAATCTGAGATAACAGTTTTTCACTTGTTTAGAGATTCTATTCTAACAATCTATGGTTTATTACTTTTTAATTCATCTACAGCAAAACTTGTATTAAACTGGGTATATATCAATGAATTGGCAAACATTATTTAAAATATGAGTGTTTTAAAATATTATTTTGATTAACTCGATTTCCCTAACATTAGTATTCATGTAATTTGGATAAATATCTTTACAATACAGTTAATTTACATGTAGATTGTTTAGCATTATTGATGTTCATAGTTAATAATACATCATGTCAAAAAGAATAAGGTTTACTATTTGATGTAAATATTTTATTTATTTCAGGCTTAATCGAACAGTTCGCTTATTTTCTGATGTAGATCTTGCTACTAATGATATATATTATCAAAATTTTGGAAACAAGTCAATATCTGAAGACTCAGTGGATGTAAGTCTATATTTATAACTTATTAAATATACTCTGAATAAATCACTTGACATACAGAATGCCAGTCTTAGATTTTCATTCTTGAATAATATACTCATTTATTAGTTATCACATCAGGGTTTTTTTTTAAAATTTACTATCTCTATAGGTTTAGTTGATTTACTCAGCAAGAGGTTTATTTAAAATGATGGAAGTCACATTATTGTTAGGTCAAATACAAGGAGTCGATGTTTTTCCAGTCTTTTATTTATTGTTATTGCTTTCAATTAATGTACTGAATAAATGTAACATTTTTTGCGTAAACAAATTTCTGAAGAAATGTAAAGTAATATAGAAGAAGACGAAAAGTGTAAGATTTACTTCTACTGTGGTACGCGCTACTTATAAGTAGTATATGACGTGAGTGTAAACGTAATGTCTGGCAGCAGAAGATGGGGGAAGATCAAGAAAGGAAGAGTGGGAACACAATGGAATTTGTATGAAACGCATGAATAGTGAAATGTCAGACTGATGTCAGATTGATGATTGATTGAAGATTTGCAAATTAACGTTTACAATATGGTTTTCCTATTTTACTGAGTAACTGTAATTTTCGTTAAATACAATTCGGTTGCCCTCACCTGTGTTCTCCTTCACTACACAACACTATACTGTTTGAACTATTGTTCACAACATATTCATCAAGTAATTATTTAATTCAGTATTGTTTATTGACATCGTTTTGTTACTGATATTTTTTTAACTTAAATAAGCACAGGAATGATTATCTAGTTTATTCATGATTTAATGTCTGACGTTTACTTTATTAACTGAGTAGTTACTTTTTAAGGAGATAACAATTGTTCAAGCAAATTAAATAATACGAAAAGCAAACTGGCAATATATAACTATGTGAATTAAATAGTTATTCAATAGTTATGTTGTCTTGTGTTCCTACTAACTGTAATTATTAAATATTTTTTGAAATGTATTCTATATCATCCTTTTCATCTTAGTTAACTGCACTGGAGCTTACAACAGAAACAATGACAGTTAATCCAGTCAAAATTAAGTTTACTGTAAATGAAATGAATCCTCGACCATATTTAAAAGCTTGTGGACCAATGCGCATTTTAACCGGTTCATCAGTTGTTATTCATACGGATTACTTGAATGCAGCATTAACAAGTGGGTTTAATTCTGGTAAGTTCCAGCAGAAATTGGTTTGAAATGTTAGATTATATTTTTAATAAGAGATGACAATTTAGGAGGTACTGTTTTCTTTAAAATCAATATTTATTATTCATTGTTTCTGTATGTTTTGTGTTCATAAAATCCTAAACAGTAGTCCATAGAATAAAAAAAATTCGAGGCTCAGTATTTAATTTCTCATTTTGCGAGACGGAAGGTTTCGCGTTCTATTTCAGTGAATGAGGGTCATGGATATGTACTACTGACGAGTCCCGTAATAGGACGATTCGACCATCCAGTGCTTTCGGGTTTCTAATTGTGGTCAAACTTAGGTCGATTCATGGTTTCAGAAAAAACTCAACAATCTCCACAACCGTTTAATGAAAAACTTATTTAGTAATATAAAAGCAAATTAGCAAGACTTTGAGTTTAAAATCTTTGTTTGTGGTTTTTGACCAACTGATAAAATGTTAGTCATTTTATGTTGCAATAATAACATGTCAAGAATAATAAAAAACTGTTTCCACATTTTACCCTATAAATCTTGCTTCGTTGTATATCATATAAAGTGAACAGGGATAAATTAAACAACCAGTAATACTAAATCAAAAAGTACTTGAAGTCTGGGTAATGACCATCACTACTGCTTGTGACTGGTAGCACTAAAATAAAGACAATCAGTTGATTTTCTATTGTTTCATTATGAAATAAGAGGCAGATAATTTAATGATCACGATTTCGTTCACTTATTTTTTCTTATCACTTTGAATCCGGTGGGGATAACCACTGACAACGTGTATGTACACTTACGTCCTCTTACTATAATCTATGTTAATTTTTTCTAAGTACTTGATAATCCTTTAAAATTCTCAAAACAACTGTTCGTTCAGTTATGAAATAGTCTTTATCAATGAAATTAACTTTATTATTCTAAACAGAAATTATCGAGTGTCGATCTTACTTCAATCTTGTACTTATAACAGCCTGTTTTAAATTGTAGGTATGAATATACTTGTTCAAACATTGTTTGTATTGGACAGTGTACATTGATTTTATCCCAATTATTGTATTGGAAATGTGTGCAGAATTGTACTTATCTTATTGATACATAATTGATATAATTTCTGGTTTGTTTGCAAAAGTATTTATTACTTCACTCTCATCGATACGATTTATACTTTTTATGTTCTTAGGTTTCATTGACACTGAGATATAAAAAAAAAGACTGAATATAAAATATCGTTTTGATTCAGTGTTTCTTCTCCCTTTCATTGACGTGAACAAATTAATTTTTTATCCATTTTGTAGTATATACTACTAACAAGTTGGTAGTTTTACTTATCCGTCTGAAATGTATATGTTTGATTATAAGTGAATATAAAATGAAGTTATGCGAATTTTACAGTTAATTTTTATTCGATTCAGTATTATACTCAGTATTAGTTCTGTTTGGAAAAGAGAGATAAGTAATCTAAGATTCCCTTAATTATTTGTTTGTGAGTATTTCTTCAGACAGTCTCTTTTGCATAATGTTTTAGGACACGTTTCAACTTTTTACTTACTTTAAACTTCCACATGATTAATGTTTTCTTTACGGCTTAACATTCGTAGTCAGAAAACTTTAAAAACACGTCTCGCTATTGCCGTTTTTACACATTGTAACTCAATATCTAAGTAATAGGCAAAAAATAGAGATAATCATAACACCCTATATTTCAACTACCGAATCTGACTAGATGTCCAGAGAGGCGGATGAGGAAGGGGATTTTTGTCTGGCAAAAGTTCAGTGACTGGTATTGAAAGTTGTTTTTAACGAGGGAATATTAGTCATAACAATAAACATATTTTATTTTTCGAAAATCTATTTTCTCATTAATTTTAATATTATCGAGGGGCATAAATTAAAAACAATTTGGAAGTGGGCTTGAGAAATTCGGTTTGATGAGTAATTTATGCATCATAATTTGGATGATTCATTGGAAAATTGTTGCATTTGCTGATTATAAAGTTAAATATCAACCTAAAGTGCTAATACAAGGCAACTTCATAAGATTTTATCTGCTCCGTAGAATAAGAACACATAAAATAAACACTGTACATTTATTCTGATTACAACATTGAACAGATAGGTTCTTTCATGTTTCATACTATCATATCACAGCTAAACATTTCTGTAACCTGAAATTGGTCAATTATTTAGAAATTGTCTATGGTTAACTGTTTAACTATTATAACAAATCACTAAACAGATAACAAGAAGAAACTGATAAGTATAATCGAGAAGGAAAAAGAGCCTTGACTAGTTAATGCATAAATCTATTTATAAACAAAATCCATTCAAATGTTCTAAGAGTAGACAATGAAAGATAGTTTGAGATGTCAAAAAATCACTTTGCGTATATATCTCAGTCACGATCAGAATATCTGGATGTTAAAATTTCAGATTACTAAACTGAGTGGCTTAAGTTCACACACATTAGAAATCATCACTTTTATGAAGATATGCCTTGCTGATGACTATCAACTAACTTGAAATATAGGCTAAATGAGGCTTCCTAAAAATTATCATCAACCACCTAACATCAAAAAATAATGCAGGCGAAGTCCATTCGCTTACAGTTGTGGCCGAATCACAACTTGATCTATGGAACCCCATCATAATTACTTTAGACTACCAGGGTTTCAGTTCCTATATAGAATAAAGCCAAAGGTATACATATCAATAAACTGAAAATCTATGTGCACTCTTTCAATTAATCTTTGTCTTCCACTTAATTATTGATATATTTGTTTAAATTTTCCAAACTTTTCGATTTTGTTAAGTTTTTGTTTTAACTTTAATCTCAAATGATGTATTCGAAAATCTAATTACTCATTTTATGAATTACTTGTAATAATTCTCACAGAAAATACAAAATATTCATTTTCATATAGTTTATGCTTACATCCGATCTCAATTCTTTTTCTTACTCATATGCAACTACTCATATGTAACTGATTATGTGACTTCACCTTAGTTCAAGTTTGTATTTGTTGTGTTATTTACCGATTACTTTACTGTTAAATTGACTCACCAACCTTAGTGCAGAGACCTGAAGCAGACCTAATTGAAATGAAATATTTCATTTCTCGAATAGCATTTTGAATTTCTTAATGGAAATAAACAACAGATAAACAAGAGATTGATTATTTTATTCGCTGATATGCACGGAAATGATTTTTTTTATATTCAAGATCTGATTATAAACAACACTGTTAGCCTATAAACTTTTTCTAATTTGTAGGAAGAGTATTTCATTGTCATTGTTACATATTTGCAGCATAAGTGTTTTGATTAGTACTGCAAAACTTTAAAAGTGAGCATGGAAATTTCTTCTCATCAACTTTTCATGGAAAATTATACAAGGTTTATTTTCGTTAGCCAAGATTATAATCATTAAACAGCATGAACATTACTTTCATATTTTAAATGATGTGTTTGCAAATCTCTAAAATTTCTGATTTCATTGTTGAAACTTCATAGTTTTATTTCTCCTGGTAATCATTCTACACATCCTTTATATCACAGTAAATTCTAACCTGTCGATCTAACAAACTTTTCTTCATAGATTTATTTAACCTTATATTTAATGTACGAAAAGGTATAAGAATTTCAGAAAATTGGTTGATAAAATTGAATGGTAAATCTCACTTTGTGAAGATGTTTGCTATACTATTTAAAGCGAAGCAAGTATTAATACAATAGATTGGTAAACAGCGGGAATTGTTCTGAAAAGAGTGATTGTAGATACTTAGTATGCATGCACTAGTTTGATAAATAAACATATTCTGGTGAATAATAGGATCAAGTGAAACGTCAATATATAATTAAGAAAAATAAATGAAACTAATAAATTTTGAAGGCTAAAACTGATGAGTATGGATGACTCAGGATATTTAGATAACCACAGCATACAGTAGGATGAATGAAAATCGCAACAAAAGATGCTACGTTTCTGGGAACCAGTATGAAACCTCTCATAATTTATGAATTCTTACTTCCAGACACTCCTAGGTTGAAGATAGTGACTGATAGGCAGTTTGATGCTCATCGTAGTCCAGTTTTATATCACTTGGACTTTTGTCTAAAGAGTGATGGCTTATTCAGTTATTCCATTTTATCTATGTAAAACAGTTTAGCACCTGAAGTCACATAGTGAATTTGATATGTTACCATTTATTTTTCCGAATTATCTGTACTGACTGATATTTAAAATATCGTTTTGAATAAAATTTATTGTTGGTGGTTTAATGTTTAGTTCTAAAGGTAAAACACCAATGAATTAGTGTGTTAAAATTATGTGGTTTTTTCAAACAGTCGTATTTTCGTATTGTTCTTTTGAAGGTGTTTGTGTGAATCTAGATTGCTTACTAATCTCTTGGCATGTAAATAATAAACTTATAGTCCTACTAATTGATACGTTTTAGTTTTGTAAAGAGAATATTTAAGGAATAATTCTACCGTAAAAACATGTAAATTTAAAGTTACTGTTTTTTATATTCTGTTAAATAATGTACATAGAAAGCTAAGCGAATTTCATCAAGCTTTGAGTAGATATTCACCATTTATTATCAAGTATTAACTATGTTTACGCATTTTATGTGAGTCTATTGCAAACATTTTTGAGAATCGTTCATTTACTTGTCTGGCAATGTAACTGAACTCAATTTAAGACTAGGTCTAGAATAAAACAAATATAAATTCCGCGAATTTGTACCTAGTTATTTTCGGTTATTTTCCTTTTTGTATAATGATAGAAAAAATAGCTATACAGTCTTCCGTATTTTCCAAGATTCTTAATTAACACGCTTATTTGAGTATCATCCACATTGAATTGCAAATGCACTGGCTATGAAATAAATGTCGCTGCGGATTAAATCAATAAAATCCTAGACATTTTTATTCTACTTCGTATAAAATTATTCCCTGAATAATTGTCCTGTTAACTTTTATCTTGATTTGTTTTAGATCAAATCACTTATGAAATCTTGAATATACATCAAGGTCATTTAGTGTTTTTAAACAGTTTGTCCGTTAGCCTGAATACATTCAAACAAATAGATCTTCAACGAGGACATGTTGCATTTGTTCATAGTGGTATGTTATTATCTGTTCTAAATTTTTTCTCCATAATAATGTTTACTATTTGTCTCATTTAATAGTTTGTACAATGATAGTTTATTCAAAAATGTTTTAAATCTTGTACTTTTTGTAATATAATCTGTTAATAGAAATTAAAGTTAGTTTTCAATATCCCCATTTTTTAAATGTTATTTCACATTCTTTTGTCTAATCCCTGATATTGTTCTTATTCAACATACGATCAAATGGTTGTCTTATGTTATGCATCGATGGCTCAAAGCTGAGTAATAGATGCTTAATCGCGAAAACGATCATACCGCATTAATAAGAGCTGGCATCACTTGTGAAACTTGAATGTGCTCGGATTCGGATCTGCGACCTTTTATCTCGAAGATAAATCCCAAATATCTTACTGACTAGGAAGAACTGACACTCATCTGGACGTAGTCGATAACCATTATCACGGCCGTCATGCATTCTCATAGTATTCTTAACGATGTGAGAACAATTTGAATATCGTCAAGGTGAGCTGTGACCCCGGGATACCCACTAAAATGATATCTATTCACTGCTGGGGAATTGATGCGGTAGTCTTGACTCCAAATGGCAGGCAGTTACATTAAAACAAACCACGATATGCTCTGGTAATCAGTAGTTCTCTTGATTCTTCCGCCAACTCAACTTGCAGGTAAACATCGGCTTAGTCCAACTTTGCGGAGAATTTACCACCATTTAGGATAGTGAATAAGTGTGCGAGCGGCTGCAGTGGATAATGATGTTGTTCATGGGCTGGGTTAAGACCTGTAGAAAAACGTGCAGATAAACAGATGGTGCCATTGTCCTCCCTAATGACTAAGAGTGAAGCTCCCCAAGCTGAATCTGAAACAGAAGTCATAACTCTCTGTTGATTTGTTCATAAATTAATAATATCCGAGATATAACGGTGATGTCAGAAACAGTGTTCATTTACAATATAAACGCATGCCCATTAATATTACGAGTAATGAACTTTCTTTCACACGTGGTTGCAATCTCACGGGATGCCAGCACGCTCAACAAATTAGTACAGCTCTTGGAAGCAGGTTTTCTACAACTTCAGGGTCGATGTGGTGGCTGTTTTGATTTTCACTGTTGACAAAACCCATCTTTGTAACTAAGGGATTTACAACCTCTGCAATGATGTTGCTTGAGTGGGCAGGCTTGTACAAAATGCTATGCCCCACAGTATCAGCAGGGAGCCGGAGGACATATCTTTCTTCTTTGTGCTTAGTTCGAGTAAGCTGAACTAGCTACAGCATGCCAAGGAGTTATATGAATTTGGAGCTATCGGAACCTCAATACTGAGCCATCGCAGTATCACTCTGTAGATTAATTAGACGTTGTTATTCACTTACTTGATCGTTCAAGGTTAGTTTGGGGTGCTGGTCTAGTCGACAGCGCTGTCGTGATGTGATATCAATAAATTTCTGAAATTTTAGACTGGCGATGAGAATGAGGGCTTTGAACTGGTTTTAATTCACTGGCTTCAGTCGAAACAGTGAAATTGCGCTGTTCACTATGCTTACATGCGTTAGTCATCAGCATCTTCATTCATAACCAGTTTTAAACACCGATAATGTCGGCTGAATGATGAAGAATTATACCCTAAATGCTGGCCTAGTGATTGATTAGTATCGATAATGAGTGATCACATCGGCTTTGTGGCAGAATCAAGTCGCAATACTTATCTAGCACACTTAGACGTAATTTCCAAAATGGCAAATTGACCTTCCAAGCATCATCTTGAGTATCGAAATCAAATTTAAATAGATCCTCATATTACCGAAACATACAGTTCAGAATGCATCCTGAGAAGTTACATAGTAGCATCCCAGCCAATGAGGTTCAAAATCTTACCACGCAGAAAACACAAACTGAAAGTAATAAGGGGCGCTTTTGACGTGAAAGTACGGATTTTGAAATTCCATAATTAAATAACAAAATTAAGAGCTTTCCTAATCGATTTCTGGGTACCCAGCAACCCAAACACGTAATAATTAGACATTTTCATTGAGTATTAGATTATTTATTGATGTACATGTATCGAAATGTCTTAGAAACTCAACCGTATCATTTGAATATTTCGTATAAACCTAAATTAAAATAAATTTTTTTAAAGGTAACCTGTTTTTGTATTCTTCCTATTTCTGCATATTTGTCTTAAACAAAGAGTGGACTTTCCAATTGTACGAAATATGATGCAGCTAGTTAGTATACCTTTGCGTTCTGTTTTGTGACACGCAAATAAAAAGACGAAATTACTGAAGATTGGTAAATTGTTAATCTTTATTAGATTGAAATAAGCATTAAGAAAGTAAAAGGTTTTAGACTTATTTGTTGATAAATTAACTAAAATAAATCGTTCATTTTGAAATTATCTAGTAAATGACAACATAAAGCTCCTAAATAATTTCGGTAAATACCCATAAACATTACTGTTATACTTTTATCACTAACTAGCGATATTAAGAATTACAAAGTTCAATCTCATCATTGTGGATTCAAACTGGAGATATTCTTTTGACTTGTGAATCTCATTGAAGAAGAAATTTCATCTCTATAACTTCAGTTTATACTTACGCCTGTTACCACCCAATGAGGCATAGTACGCCGATCTCATTTTGTACGGACATGCTGAATGATCGAGATTATGATGGAATAGCAATAAAAATAGCTTTACGTATCAGTGCGCTATTAGGTTATGAATATTTCTGGTTTACACAGAATGTTCGATATTTGTGAAATTTATTCAAAAGAATACAGCCCAAAGGTTGCGATTTAAAAAGCTGATTTATAACTTTTGAAAATTGCCAATCACACAATTATTCAGAAACACCTTATTCATTTACAAAAAACTCGGATACTTTCTACAGTCATCTGAACACCTAAACATTTGTACAGAACTATTTTTACCTTTCAGACAAAAATTAAAATTATAAGCATCCGAACTTATAGATGTATTTGTTCTTGAACTTCTATCAGCACGTAAATCACAACTTTTGGTTAGTTATAATATGCAAATTTTTCCGGTTAATTTTACTTTTATCCATCTGTAAACTTATCAAAAAAGTTTTTGATCAACAAACTGTATTCATTTCTAAAAGAATCTTAAAGTATAAATGAAAGGTTATGATAAAAATTATTTTTAAATTTAGATCTGGTTATTTCATTATATTAAAAAAAAATTGATATGGAAGAATCATCTTTAATAAATAGGTAATTAACCTTCAATGAAATGGATAAATTCATTTCCTGTACCTATGAGAACAGTTTCAGGCGGTTAAGTTTATGCAAATCTCATTGTAAACATTGAATGAATTGCAGTAAGTTAAACAACTTAAGTGGATAATAAATTTATGATCAACCGAACAGATAATTTTATAAATAGTTTTTAAAATGTTTTAAAATATTTGCCAATAAGTTATCGTTAATTTAATTTGATATCATTTGAGAATACCTGTTTCCTTTCCTTAATTTCTACATTATAAATGAATTTGTATTGTTGAAAAATTTAATATGGTTTTCGTTTAGATATATATCTTGTCTTTGTAGCGATATCTGACACAGATCATTTTTCCCAATTGCATAGTTGTCATATAACACAATGTTTATTCTTATAACAAAGAAAGTTATGTAGATAAAATCGTACAGAGTTTAAAATGCGACTCATCAAAAATTTCTAATTGTTTAATAAATTAAAAATTTTATTATCTCAAATCAGTTTACATTGTGCTATATTTGCTAAACTAATCAGATAACTTTTTCAAGTTTTTAAGTCAAGCGAATAAATCCTTTTAAATATTTGGAATTAAAGGCAACACTTTAGCTTGTCTTGATAAAAACACTCTCCATAAATTTATTTTAAAAAAGATATACTTTGGTTTGTGCATCTCAACTATGTAACTATGCAAATTCAAGTACTTGTTAATAAAAGAAAATGACATCATTTTTTGTAAGTTTTGATTCCTATATGTAATAGAAAAAAATTGTCTTATGCTTTAAATACATTTTCATTGAACAAACTTTATTTTTAATCATCAACCATGTCAATTTTTGAAACAAATTGCTTTCTTTATAATCAATCATAAATTATGTTTTCTGTACACGTTCACAGGTTCACAGAAAAGTACGGCTTGTGGTTTCACGTTTGTTCTGGTGTACAACTTATATCGATCTGAACTGTATCAATTTCAAATAATTCCTGGTACAGTAGAACTGAATGTCATAAGTAATAAAACATTACTAGTTTTTCCTAAGGGGTAAGAAATGAAAGTGTTAAACTTTTCATGTTTGACCATTTTATGAACTCTATTTCAACTGTGAGAATGGAGCTGCATTCGACGATAATATTAGATTTGATTGATTCATCGTGTATTATTATCAAAATAGTTTCTCAAGGAAACGACGGAATGAAATTAATTTGCTTGTCCCTAACGTTATTAAAATAGTTCAGTCAGTTCTTTCCAAAAGCATGTTGTCAATGAAGTTACCGAATTCGTTAACAATCCATTTTGAAATCTTCACTCTCATCAGAAAGCTACTATGTGAATCCTTAAATTTTTTGACTTAATACTGATCATTTGAATATGAGCGTCTTTGAGTGGTTTATCAATGCGTGATTGACTGTTATCAGTGTTTCTCGGACATCGAGGCCTGTGATACAGTTTCTGTCAGTTACAAACATCGTTATTATAAGTTTTCCAGGGTTCATTATTCAATAGCTTATTTTTAAGAAATATTTTGAAGTAACTGAGTAATCTAAATAAACAGACTTGTCAAGAAAAGTTATTTATACTGAGTGCCGTCACAGAGAATGCATCATTCGTGCCACCTCATTATCTAGAGGAAAATGATTGTTAATGAAGTACTTTAGTCAAGACTTTGAGTGATGCAGAAGAAATATTCGCAATGGAAGTGTTTGTGATATCTATTAGTTTATGTAAATTGAATGAATATTCAAAATACTAATACTGACTACTTCTAAATGAACAATGCTAGGTTACTTCGATAAGGTAAATAAAATATGAACCTATCCGCAATGGTTCTCTGATTTTTCTAAATTGATCAATAATGAAAACTGAGTGGAAATAAACTGAAAACAAATAAACGAAATTTATACTGTAGTAATTAGTCTATGCTAGAACGGAAATTGCTAATAGAGATAAATGCTGAGTCGTATAAAATACTTACTAATTTCTGAATGTACCTTAAGAGCTAAGTAATTTTTAAATACATTTGTTTATTGCTGTTAGATTTGAAATATTTACTCCTTACCATCTGAATACTCAAATTAAGTTCACTGCCCTGAAATCCTTGGATTATGAATCTAGTTCAAATGCACTGAAGGACAACAGTCTGTCATCTACTTCATCATCATTTTCGTCTTTACTGAAAAGTCGGTGCGATCTTGAGAGGGAGTTGGATCTTTATGTGGTATACAAGGTCTTATCAAAGCCTACACATGGATCAATAATTAGGTTCAGTGTCGGAGATGGAAAGCAATCACCTATTTGGAATGATAGCATAACTGAATTCACTCAGGTAAAGTTTCACCTCTAATTATTGAATTTTCGCTTATTTTCTATGAAGCCTGGTTGTTGTCATGTACACTATTCATACTGTATCTATCATGATAATTTTATTTCCTAGAATTATGATCATCAATACAATCATTTACATTTACATGTTTAGTAATTTGTTTTATTGTTTTTGAAGAACAAATAATTACTGAAGTTTGATGAGTGATAACCGTATTAAACTACTTAAATTTAACTGAGAGATCGTAAATTTTAATGGGCTGAAATATTGTAACCAAAAAACATTTTTTGGCAGCGTAGTGATTTAGAAAAATATAAATTACCATACAACTTATTCCTTGAGGGCCTCGCTAATTACAATATTTCCATTTCAAATCTGTAGTTTTTAAGAAAATACACTTTAATCAATAAGTAATATTTGCAACATAGCTGAATACTTTTGGTTCTGTTGAATTCTCTCAGTTAAATGAGTAAAGAAACATTATGTCAAATGAAAATTTAGTAAAAATAATGCAAATAGTCAAGAAATGTTTTGAATTAAGCATTTATGATAGGGAATTTAAATACCGATATTCCGGAAATGTAGAAAAGTCTTTGTATGAATGATTGAAAACAGAATTAAAAGATGTGAAATTTTTAAAAAAATATACATGCTTTATTACCAACTTTCGAAAGTTTGTTCCTTTGAAATAATGGGGACGTGTGCCGCACTTTCCGATTATCATTCATGATAAATACATTTGAAAGACGGTATTAGGATACATAAAAATAATTGGATGATATTATTGTTTGATAGTCCACTGCAACTGGTGTTCTTTAATTCTTCGAAAAACTAGCAGTGAATTAACAATTTACTTTGGTTCAGTCTTTAAGGTTCTGTTGGCTGAATATTTCTGATGCATTTACTAAAATGCGTTTCAGTGTATTTTACTTAGCAACCTTTTGATATATGATTTGTAATTTTTTTTATGTTTGTTGAACATAAATTGTTGCATAAAGGGATATTAATGCTCTTCATAGTGTGTTCTACAGATTTCACCCTTCATTATTAACTATATTATGAAAACATATAGTTACTGTAAATAATAATTATTTTTCTGCGGTAATTAATTTTGCTTGGGTCGTAAATACAAAGTGATTTTAAACTACAATATAATATTTTATTTAATTTAACAGGAGGAAATCATCTTAGGAACAATAGCCTATCGATTTCATCCTAATAAATGGCCTATAGACAGTAAAAAATTTACACTATTCCAGTATAATTCTGATATTGAAGATGAATATATTATCAGTGCAAGTATTATAAAACGAATCACCGCATTTAATAAAAACAATGAGGAAAATTACAATTACAACAATGTAAAAAATAATACTATCAATGATAAAATAAATTATTATGATAATACCAAACATTTAACATCTCAAATAATATTTGGTTCAATTTCCATATCAAATGATTACATTTTAAGATATAATCAACATCGTCTATTGAATATCAATCCTTTAATTGTACATAATGGTCAGACAAGCGAAATTACATTCAATCATATTAATGCTAATCCGATTCGAGAATTTTTAATCAATAATAAATCAGAGAGTAAAAGTGTATGTTGATGTTTTAATTTTTTGTTTTTTATCATTTGGATAGTTATAGAATCATTCTACTTTTTAAATCCGATCAACAAAATGAAGTAAACCTTTTTTCTTCACTTGTATTATATTCATAGTGGAATTTATAAAGTATTTTATTGTCTAAGTATTCTCAATAAATATTTAGTCAGCTAGTTTGTTAAATATTTATTATTCAATATTTCAAGACTTAGTTCATTAGTTTAAGAATTCACTTCTAACTTCTATCAAACGAATCAAGTAACCTAAAATAACTCTTCATGAATTATTTTCATCAAATCAAAAAATTAAATTTATCTGTTTCGTTCAACCCTGTCGGGTTTGAAACAGTACCCACTTAAAACAATGGATGAGATTGTACACTATCGTGAATTGATTGAAGTTGGACATTACAACCGCTGGTACTGGCTCAGTAGTTTAGTGGTGAAGCGTTCTTGCGCAGGACTAAAGGCACTGAGTTCCTGGGTTCCCGGGAGCAGGGACCGTGGATGCCCGCTGCTGATCAACCCCACACTAGGACGAAACGGATGTCCAGTGCATTCAGGTCTCTAATGATGGTCCAACTATGATCGGTTCATGATTTCAATGAAACGTAACCATTTCTACAACCCTAAAATGAGAGTATATATGATATAATATGAATAGATCTGTTACGAAAATCACTTACGCGTGTAAACAATTACTGTTCTTTTTTTATCATGTTTCAGTCGTTTAATTAATGTTGGTTATTGATGCAAAATACATTCATTGATATTTATTCTATTATAATTCAATTATAAACATTTTTGTATCTGAATGTCATTTTACATTTATATAAATAGCTCAGAATTGTAAAGACTCCTAAACATGGAACTCTTTGGTTAGGATCACAAAACATGAAAACTGGTAGTATTATTCCTGGTTTATTAAGTGGAATGTTGTCGGAAAAACTAATTTATCAACATGATGGCTCATTAACGAAAGAAGATAGTTTCGAATTATTGGTAGGTCAATTTTTCATTATTGAAACTATGTCTTTCAATTTAATTGTTTTTTTAATTATTGTATAATTTTTATAAATTTAGACAATCTGTTAAGGAATAAAGGTTTGCCGAAATCATTTGATATACACCAACTTTGAGAACGATATTAAAAGTAATTCAAAAAAGATAACTTTCATATTGGTACAAACTACTTTTCTATGTCAGTGATATTTAGATTTTAACCTGTTCAAGGCTTAAATGGTCTAAGTCCTTACTGGTGACCAAATTAATACGAAACAAAATGTCATTAGAATAACACTAAGTTTTTCTTATATATTTTATGCAATCGCCTTCCTGTGCGAATTTAAGTAAAACCAAAATTAAAATTGAGACAAATTACGAACACATTATATTCCGTAGTTCCTCATTAGTTATTTACAATCATGTATTATATTGTAATACTGAGTTGCAAAACATTGATAAGGAAGGGATTAGAGTAACTAGAATTATCAGTAATAACCATATATATATATATGGTTTCGGTGTTAGGAAATGCAAACATATACTGTTTTCTCTGTTCTTTAAATGTATATGCTTTGACACGTACAGGTAAATTGGTAAATGTTGTTGGAGATACTAAGAATAGAGAACTTTTCGATATTTGTTTGTTTTGTGGAACCGTTTATTTCACATAACATGGTCAGTCTTATTGCTGGATAGATAATCTTTATCGTGGCATTTATTCGGTGGTAAATTATTACAGTAATTCAATCTTTATGGAAGCTTAGATATAGGAACTATTTTTTTCGCCTGGATCGCATTTAGCACAAGCTAGTTTTGACATATTTTTCGGTTGTTTTTGGTTGATAAAATTTTCACGGAGACATGATTCAATGATTTTCATTGTGTGGTCAGTTTATTTTATCTTTATAAAAATTATTGAACTACCTTAGCTGAAAATGTAGATTGTATATTTAGATGGTTAAAAAATCGTTAGTTTAATATTTGATCAATTATTATTTCTTTATCTTATAAAACAGCACATACAATTATTTATTCAACAAGTCTTTTAAAAATGAAAGTATATGAAATCGATAAATGTCATCCGGTTTCGGTTGTCATTTTGATAAGTATGTAGGGTTTTTGAATTACTTTTTTAATGATCATAAACTGAATCTACTCTTAGAACTTCTGATGACGGCAATGAGTTGAATAATTAACCTACTGCATAGTGTCCTGCATTATTTTTTTCATATTCCCACTTTCATTATTTTCCTTTTTATGTTCACTGACATTTTATTTGAATTGAAATAAGATAAATCAGCAATTGTTTCACATAACAAAGGAATTTCGGTATGCTGTGTCGGTATAACATGAAGTTACTGCGAAAAGTACAAATTCATTTGTACTACAGAAACGGAAACTAAATTATGATGGATATGTTTCCATTTTATCTTAATTATTTTGATTAATAATAACAGTAAAATAAAGCTAAGAAACCTTTGGAGTGATTTATTATTATTATTATGTGAATTCACCCTCAATAGGTAAGGGTGAGTTTACATCAGTTTTCAGGAGAATCAGACACTACTCACCTCTTAACACTACAACGTGAGCAGTACAGCTCAATCCTGGGGAGCAACCACGCAGGCACTTGACATCCTGGTGGACCACTTTGAAGCGACTGTTTATTCCTAAATATTTAAGTGAGGTATGCAGACCACGAACTCAATATTCAAACTTAAACTGACAAAAATGCTAATTTCTATACTTAGTGAGTGGTTAAAACATCTTGTTATGTAAATTTACATGGATGCAAAGGTTTTATGTGGAAAACAGCCTAACGTCAGTCAGCAGCGTACTGATACTAAGCGATCCAGTGACATGAATTATCAAACAGTGAGTAAACTTTTAACATTGCTTAAAAAACCAATTAATCATCGAATCTCACAAGTAATCAAGAATATTACTTATTACACGATTCAGGACTGACAAAAGAGCTTTTAAGAGGGTAATCAATGAATTGAATTATTTCTGAATGTTGGATAAAATTTACCAACTTTGTTCACAGTCTTAAATCAATGTTTGCAAAATCTTCCATAAATCTCTATCAAAAACTATGGTAAATGAACAGCTGTATGGACGATTTTCAAAAAATCCTTCAAATTTTATTTACAATTTATCGAATATGCAGTTGAATAACATAGAAATAAAAACTTTATCACTAAGACTTAAATTTCACATTCCAAAATCAAGTATTGACAGAAAGCCAATTTGGAAATTTGTTTGACCAGTTAATAAATTAACATCTAATGAATGAAGAAAAGAAGACTTGGTTCAAATCAAAGCTACTTAATATCACCAACCAATTCACTTACATCAAAGTTGAATATTCATTCCATAGAACATCTGAAAGCTTTAAGAAACGATCAGATAAAGGTTCAGATGTCGTTCAGGTGACATGTTTCACTTTTTGACACTGCATTACAAGGGATGGCAAAAAAGAAAATGCTTAGAATTTCAGTAGTCTTTTGTTTATATGATTACAGGAAAGTTTAGGCCAAAACATTGGTTCGTAGAGTGGGAAGGATATGTACCACTGTCAAACAGGAATATGAGTCGGCAGATGATGAAACATGCTGGTTACTGGCACCCACATAAATTCATACAAAAATGAAAATATGGCAGTAAAACAAGTCAGGTGTGACTAGAGTCATCGAAAATCCAATATTTATGAATCTCAACTTCAAACGTGAAGACATCGTAAGCACAATCATCAACAGGCTTAAAACTGCATAAGCCACCATTTAACCAGTTATCAAACAGTTACTACTGTATAAAATAGCAAGTTTATTAACTTCATCAAAGGTCAAAAATAACCGTTTCCTGTGGCCACCAACTGTATCTATAGATTTATGTGCACCTGAAAAAACAGCTTCATTGTTCGAACCTATGAAAGGCATAGCTAAGATTGTTGAAAGTATTCTAAGATCCTTCGAACAAGAGAGATAACTGCTGTAAGGAGCACACTTACCATTCATCATCAGTTTGATAGCTCGCAATCTGTCAAGGTGATTATTAAATAGTCAAGCTCCAGTTTTGTGAAACTAGCTGAAGTGGTTGCTATCCAGTACCTGAGACCTGGTTTGTATGTTCCTAAAAAGTTTATTGTCAATCGTCTTTTCCCTTGACTATAAATATTCTTTAATTATAATATTGAGTTTTGTTCAAATCATTTTTCAACCCATTACTTGATTCCATCTTTTTATTTTGACTGTCTTCTAGTTGAGTAATCTTGTTTTGACTAGCTGAGATTTGTTCTTTTTGTTCGGATTTAATCTCAGAGTTTCTTCTTCAGGTAACCACGTATGTGTAGTCCTCTAGACTTTTGTCATTATTAGTGTTGTAGAATTTTTTTTCTGTGTGAGGTATATATTTACTATGTTTGATTCAGCGTACTAGGATTGTCTGCATTCCTGCAATACTATACCGCGATATGTGATCATCGTACCTTCCGACTATGACTACTTTAAACTTACTTTGTAATTATGGTTTTAGATATTAGAGGTTGCAGGTAGCTGATGAGAACGAGATGAAATAGAATGAATTCCTTTTATCTTGTTGAAATGTTTGTTCTTGATTTTGGCAAGATGATAAATGGGGCTATATGTAATTTCGAAATACTGTCTACGAATAAGTATAACTAAAAACAGGAATCAGAAGCTGTGCCATTTATCGAAACTTACGTTGATAAAGTAGCTCAGATTGCAGACCAACTACAAATTTCGTTATCATGACGAATTGAATAACATGACATTTACTTATCAATACTCCCTGACATTAAGTGTAGCATTTCACATTCATTAATTATATTGACTGCGACGCTTCTTTTATTCAGTCCTACGGAAGACCAGTTTATAATATCCTATTAAATTGTGAGATTAGTTTGAGACAGTATGATTGCAATGAAAGGAATTAGTGCATAGCAGTTGATCAGCTAATAAAACACTGGTAGACTTGCAATTCAAGTTACCATGTTGCCTGATCATAATTTCTTTTAATTGTTTAATAATGTTTCTTGCTAATTTGATTATTTTAATTCAAAGTCTGATACATCATCTGGCCTAAAATATATTCATGAATGTTTGTATTTGAAATCCAGTACATACGAAAACAGAAATGTTACGGGTAAATCCTCATCGTTCTTTTTGTAATTCATTTGAAAACTCACTAATAATTGTTCATTTGTTTGCTTCATTTTGGTTTTATACCAAATCTATGGGCAAAATTTAGAATCTTAAAAAAATAATATGGTTATTTAGACCATGAAAAATATATAATTTTGCTAAATGTCAATCATTAATTTAGAAGAATGAAATTTTTCTCTCCCATTTATTATTCTTGAAGTAATCACGAAAGTTATTGATCCTCTGAGAGTCATTGTAATAAGATTTTCTGCGAAATTCAAATTCTGTGTTTTTTCACTGAATTCAAATTTGACGACAAACGTTACACAGTTGATACTATAATTCATTGGACTTTTTTTCACTCTTCTCGGATTTATAATTACAATTTTTACCCATGATTCATGATTGTTTGTCGTCCAATTTTACTAAAGTAACATTGTACTACAGTAAAAAAAAAATAACATACTTTTAAAGTAGTATTCATATATTGAGTCCCACTATGCCTTCAGATAGCGTGAAAAATTCTAGTAGATTACTGAACAAAATAGTGTCACATTGGTTAAAAAAGAAAATATCCCGTCACATTTATCAAGAAACATAGAACTAGGCCAGTCAATGCTGGTAATATAGTTTTAACTGTTTGGAAGTAGTTATAAAATAATTGGAATAATATATTTGACAGTTTAGAAACAAAACATTCATCTGATGCTTTATAAGTCTGTATGTATTGATTCAGACTATCAGATATCAGATCATCACGTAACAAACGGATAAGATGATATAATACAATAATAAGTGAGCTTATTTTTTATCCATCAAGTTAATGTTTCGAATTAGTTGTATTTCATACATGAAATTGTATACCTTGATACTCAAATTAAAACTGTTTATATGTAAAGTATTTCTAGATATTTTTTGAAAATATAACTCCGATAGAAGTTGTCAGCATTATTGTATCGAATGATCACACTGTGATATTTAACTAAACTGCCAAACGAATTGTATGACTAAAAACAAGATTATGACTTGATTAACAGTCTACTAGTAACACTAGATATTTGTTGAGTAATGAACGTACAAAAACATTTAAACATTGTGTATGAATATTTATAAATCTTTATTTATTACAGTCACAAACACATTAAGATAATCTAATGTCCAAGTATTTTTTGTTGATTCAAAGTTGTAACGGCAAGCTTAATTTATTTCAACCGATAAACATGATCAGACATCGTAGCATTGTCTAAAAAACTTTACTGTGCACCATGCTATGTTGACAAATGTTAACTATTAAAAATTAAATTAATTAATATCTTCTAAATAACCAAATTTTAATATTAGTGTATTTTGCTTACACCTATCACTATACTGATAAAAGTCATGAAACCACTGATTATTTCATGTATTCCAAACGAATCGAATTCGAGGAAAGAGTGATGTGATGTGATACACGTAGATCCACTTTGCAGTCTGAATGTAAATTCAGTAAGCAGAAGTGGTTTGCAGTTATTCGTCTGAAGTTATTTGTTCTGTGTGTTTTATCAGTTAATGGTAAGAGCTAATTGTAAAATGAAGTAGGTGACATTTACGGGTTTGACTGATTGAGTATGCGACATTTTACCCCAGACTTATAAGCTATGTCTTGTTTGATCGAGAACAGTGATGAAGTGAAACATTCATGATTTGGTGTTGATTGCACAAAAGATAATCTCCAAACACCAGTAATGCTATTTAGTCACACACTCAAGTAATGTGTAACATACATGATAAAAGTGAACGTTATTTGAGTTGAAGAGTCAAAAGTGTATTGTTTTGAAGTGAGCTAAACTGTGGATGGTTTGATTGAAGTGAAATACCGCGAACCCGCCAGGAAATTCTAAAATATCATGGATGTTGTGTGAACTTATTGAGATTTTAAAATGCCGTCTTACACTTTGTCAATAAATATCCAAACGCAGTCAGTTTGATTATGGTCGCTGTTTTTATTTCTGAGTATTATACTGCGTAGTTTTGTGAATAAGGAGCGATAGATTGTATAGTTATTGTTAATAGTTTCATAGAAATTTGTTAAAGTGTGTTTTACTTAGCAGATGAAAAATTTTTCATAAATTATGTATGGATTGGATTTGTATAAGTGGACCGTTTTCCTTTACTACAACGTCTTGCTAAATTTTATGGTTTAGATGCTTTTAGGCAAAGATTATCGCTTCCAAAGTATTACCATCAATTGTTCATTGAACAGTTTATTGTTTCGATGTTGATTTCGATGAATCATTATCAGTAAATAAAAAAACTATAAACATCGTTTCTACGGAAAATGTTTTAACGATTACTCTCTCAAGTTTAATGTAATTTTTGTACTTCTGCTATTGACATCATGATGACCCCGTCGTTGGAAAATCAGATCACAGTTTTCACTGTATGTTACACGTCAACCTTTCATCAAAACTACTTTGCCACTAGCTGAATAGGAATTTTTTTATTGGATAATCGGGTAATCATTGTTAAATAAAAGTTGCTTTGGGTTTCGTTACAAACTTGTCATAACATTTACAAGTGTATTTTCCGCTTGGACTGTTTTGTTTTTAAATATTTCTATATTTTTTCTGAGATTATTCAAATTCTTATTCAAATTATGTAAAACCTAATATACTATCGTTCATATGTTTGCGTTAATCCATAAATTAATCAATTCAGTTTTCTTCTTTAATATCCTTCTTGATTACAAACGAAATTTTGTACTGTACTCACTGATAGTTAGGCAACATAAGACTATCTTTTATTAAACAAAATAAAATAAGTTTAAATTTTTATACTGGAAGGGGATACTTTGTTTGATCATTTATTTTTAATTTTCTATTTCAGGTAAATCGACTGAATTTCTCCTGGACTATTTATGAACTACCGATTGTATTTCCAATACAAATTGTACCTAATCTAAATACATCACTTAAACTAATTTATCCAATGATTCAGGGGAATAGAAATAATCTTTTTACCAAGAGTAACTCCTTAATTACAGTTGAAATGAACGATTATGTAACTATTACAAATGAACATTTATATGTCCAGCATGAATTTATTCAGCCACAGTTTATTTACATACAATTTAAAATCTTGCCTAAATATGGTAAACTATACTATTCATATAATTCATTTAAACAAGAACATGATATTTTAATACCTGAATGTGAAACATTATATACAATTACTCAAAATGATATCAATCTTCAAAGACTTAGATATTTTGCAAATAATGTTGATGGAAACAAACAAGATCCAAATAAAGCTGTATACGATTCGGCAACATTCGAGGTGTATCAAAATGAATATCCTAATTTACAAATGAATAAATTAAATGGTATTTTGGAATTTCAAATTATACTAGGTAATTTAATGTCAAACAGGTCAGTACAACTTAGTCTGTTACAAAATGAAACAAAACTGTGGCTTGATGCAGAAATGTTACAAATGCAATCAAGTAAATGGAGAAACTATCAACACAATTATCAGGCAAATCTTTTGACATTCTTTCGTATTCAACAACTGCCTAGTAATGGCAAAGTGTTTGTTGATACAATACCTGTATATAGATTCAGTTACACTCAGTTAAAACAGAAGCGAGTGTATTATGAAAAGACAAATTTCTCAACACCACATGATTTATTTATCATTGAAGTTGAAAAAATCGTCTGTGGAACTTCTTTGAAAACTCGATCAAATATCTTTAAATGGTTAACTGATGATAGGTTGAACTTTAGTTATCAATCATCTAGTGAACGCTCATCGTATATCACTCTTACTGTGAATATAATTGTTAAGTCGTTGATTTCCATTGATACACTTTATGTCACTCCTGGAAAAATTACTAAAATTAATGCAGAAAACTTAAAAATCAATGAACTCTATGAACTTCTGCAAAAACATGACATTCCAAATATAAAGCTAACTAAGAACAATGATAAGACCATGTCAATTACAATGTTCACATTTCCAACAGGGACAATGTTAAAATCAGGGAGATTTTATACTAATAACCGATTAGTTATTTCAAGTGGTTATTTAGATGATAAATTATCTAGTTCAGTTAATATCAGTTTACAAGATTTTCTGTCAAACAATGTTTATTTTGAAGCATATCAAGTGACTAATGGAAGTGTAGAAATTTATGAAGAAACTATTCCATATATATTTACTTTAGGAAATTTTCTTACTCCACAAATGTATTACATCTATTCAGATCCTATTTTTGTACAACCAGGTTATGGAGATTTTAAAGTTTCAATGAAAAACATTTTATTTTCCCCAAGAGCTATTAATAATCTTACTAATAATGGAAATGGAAATGGAAATGTTCCAGCTTCATCATCTTCAGTAGTATCGTCAACAAGCAAGGTAGATATGCTGAATGATATTTCTAGACAATCTGGTCCCGGAAGAATTGCATTCACAGTTGCAGGACTCGCTTTATCTTTAGCATTTATTTCAGTTGTAATAATATGTTCAGTTGGTTGTTGCATATATAAGCGCAAGAATAAAACAAATAAAGACATATCAGATATGTCAAGCCAACCAGAAAAAAAGGCATCTACCTCTTTCTCATTGACGATGAACACACTAACAAGAGGAAATATCAATAGTCCAAATAAGTATATACTTAAATCAAGTCATGATTCAATTGAATTATGTCCACTACATGAAATAAATAAGAATGAGAAACCTAACTCCGACAAACAAGTCAATAGTCTTACATTGTCAAATAAATCATCGAGAGTTACCTTTGATAACAAAGTTAATGTTAGTCCCATCATTCCAGTAGAATCGTCAATATCATCAGCACAGAACTATTCATGCAGTTGTGACTTTAGCGGAGCGGTTGTTTACTGGACTACAGACATGGAGACTGCTACTGCTGTGCCGTCCATTGGTTGTCAGAGTGATAATAACTTTATAAATTGCAGTAACTATAGCAGCAATCCTACATTTCATTTCATTTCCACAAACGATGAAATAATTTCACAACCACCGATATTATCTTCTTCAATGTCACCAAATATTTTACAAACACAACAGCACACAACGCAGTTTTCTGGTCCAGTTCTTCTAGCTCAGCTTCCTACAACTAGTTTGAATTTACCACATTTAACATTCTTATCCCCATCTGATGCCACCAATCAAATTAACATGAACATTGTTCCATTGGAGTCACAGTTTCCAAATGTCAGCCTATTTGAGAATGACAAATATAATTTGAAAATGAAAGTTGATAGTCAACAAATTAACTCCGAACCCACCGAACATGATAGTCTAAAAATAATTGATAAAGTAACTGAATCACATTTAGATAACTCGTTGTGTAATGAAAATCAGAAATGTAGCAGTACAAATACACCGTTAACTTGTGTTCTAAACACTATCTATGGTAAAGGTTTCGATATCAGTTATATAAATGAAGCGGTTTGATAAATTCAGATAAGACTGATAACTGTGATCTTGCACCAGTGAATATAATTATTTATCTTGAATAATTTGTAATTTCTATTTCCTCTTGCCAGACAGATAAATATCCTCTTTACTATTTTATTAATCAAAACCTCTATCAATTGACTTTCAAACATTAAATCTGCACAATCTGATTTTGTAATTTTTAATGAAGATAACTTCTTATTTCCTTTCTTTATGCTTTCATAAAAGTATTTTGTAAATATTTGTAAATACTGAACACTTTTCTAGGAAGATTCAAAAAATTTTTAAAAAATATATCTAGCAAATGAATGATCAACTACTTGACTAACTGTTTTCATTATTTTTGGTGCTGATGGTGGTAGAAATAACTAACTGGATGAATGTTGTCATATGTAGCAGACAAGGACATCGCTTTAATTTCCTCCATATGTTTAGATCAATATAAAAAATAATAAACATTAGAGTGTGCAAAAAAAAACGGAGTACGAAACGATCATAATATTTTTCAATTAGCGTTATGGAGATTGGTGTTTGTTGCACATTGAAATCAATCAATCATTGTTAGACCACCATTAGAAACCTGGAAGCACTGGACTGCCGTTTCGTCCTGGTATGGGACTCATCAGCAGTGCCCCACGACTCCTGAACCTCGAAGGAGTTCCATTCGATTATTAATTATTTCCTAACTTTGAATAGAAATGAATGTAGTTCTAGTTACACATACAATAAAAATACTTAATTAGTCTATTGAATCATCATTATTAATAAATTTACTAAGGATCTTTATTTAAACAAATTGATGCAGTGTACAATGTTTCACGCATTTCGAAAAGTAAAATCATATGTTCATAATGAGCGGATAGAAGACATTTGATAGTTTTAATTTCAAAAATTAAAACTAGTTATTATGATTGCTCCATAAAATCTAGTATCAACTGAAATTTTAAAAAGACGCTGTTGAGTGAATTTTTCACGTCACACATTCCAATATATAAGCTAAGAACTACGAAAATTTTCTGCATCATATTGAAATATGTGTTCTGTCAGAATAATACTTAAAAAACAATTTAGATCGTTAAAATTCACATATTCATCAATGTCAAAATCATTGTCAACAAATAATCAAACTTCAGAAAGCTAAATATCAATATAGATACTACGTAATTTTTAATTAACTAGCTAATTCCTGGATTTCAACACACAGTTAGAAAATCCCGCGAACGATCAAATTTTTTTGAATTTAGTTGAAAGAATAACGTCGCAACAAAAGCATATATATGTATACGTATCTATATATGTACGAGGAAGAAATTATTTTTAACAATATATGAGAAAAGGGAATACGGCATTCTTGATGTATCTTTGTAAATATTGTGTGTGTAAAATGTAACTTTAATTTTATACTGCCTGTATTTATCTGCCTATATGAAAGGAATGTAAATCTTGTATGCAGTAGTATGTTGCTTGTGAAATTTAGTGAATATGTTAAATATAACTTTAATAACAAGTTAAGCATACAATAATTATTAGCAAGGTTGTTTGAAGACAGAAATGAAATAAATTTAAAACAATAAAAGGACACATTTCAGTGGGGTATATTGCCAACGTTTATAGTTTCGAAGCAAAATAGGCAGACACAGACAGGCACAATGTGGATGAAATGATAAATACAGACCGATTATCTGTTAATGAAATTTAGTGAAATTATAATAATCGTAAATACTAAATCTAATCAGTGTATTCAGATTAAGAGAGAGTGAGAGTCGATTGTTACGCTTCAGTTTTTATTTTGAGACTCATGCGAACTGAACATTTTGACCTTTGTTTTTTTTATTTGTGATCATTGTCTTAACTTTAAAACCCCATTACTATTTTAATTCCTAATTTTACTGTTAATAACAACTTATTGGTTATTAATAGACAAGCCATTTGTTTTTTTTTTTACATTGAACATAATTCTAATGAGTAGCGGTGATAACTAGATTGATTAGTTTATATATAACCGAACAATTTGCATAGAAATACAATAACTTAACTATATTCTTGATTCATTGCCTTTCTTTCTTTGTCTAGATTTGTAAAGTAAATCAAAATCCATAAGACCCGGTTTAATTATAATGTCGTATAAATTTTATGTTAGGCAGTATTATCAGTATTTCATTCATTTCAAAATCAATATGATGAACAGTTCGAAATTACTTTCATCAAATCGCTATGAATAAATTTTTCATTGTGATTTCCTGTAGTAACGTAAATTTTACAATTATTTAGGTAAATGCTTAATTACATATTTATGCCTGAAGCAGTTAATTTTAAAGTTTGTCTAAAAATAATACAGCTACCAAGGGAAATTATGAACTAGTTTCCTTCGCTTGCTTTAATGTTTAGCGTGTGACCTTGTAAAATATACATGCGCAAAATGTAGAGCTGAGTTTTTAGTTGTCGGATATCGAATCTCTTACCTCAGAACTCACCTAATTACTTTGCCCTAATATACGAACTACTGACATTAAATCATTGGTCGTGTTATATATATTTAAACAATATTTTTGTTAGTGAATGGAAATCAAATTCAGCATCATTGTTTCATTCTATTTGAATCTTATCATTTAAGTTTATCTGCATTTTGATATGATCAAATTTATTGAAATTAAAGTCGTCAGATGTTTAAGACATTGTTGAGTCAAAGCAGTAATATTAAAAACCATCAACTGTTACCTGTTGCTAGTACTCTGATAAAAATATCGGTGAGAAAATCGTTACTTTATATAATGAATCGATCTAGTTTGTTATGAAAGTGTATTAAGAATGTAAAAAAACAATCACCTCAGATAATAACGTAAAGGTAAAAAATCAAATGAAAACTATGGTGAAAATATAACTGCAATGTTTATGTTAAGATGAAATGAAAAAAAAGAACACTGCTATCATAAGCAGATATAAAAGTTTATAGTCATAATAATAACCTCCTTAATCTCATGCGAGCTTACTCATATTGAAGTGGATTAGCTCTGGTTCTAGCATTAGTTCAACACTGAACCAACTTGAAGTGTAGTAAAATAAAAGGAAATATCGTATGATCTGTTTGTTACATACAAACAACCTCGCATTTTATATTTTAGTAACTCGGAAGATCAAAACATAATAAGTCAGTTTCAATCACCGTTTGATGGTTTTTAATCTAACCTATATGCCGAGAGTCTTTTGTCTAATGAGTGCTTGAAAACGTTACTGTATGCGTATAAATACATCCAATTATAGACTACTGACATCGAAAATACATCTAAACGACTGCAATATTTTGCTGTAATTCAAAAACCTATCAGAGGCATCGCACTCATACAACTTAAATGAGTATTGCTGTCGTTTCGGTTCAGTGTAACTGTAGATTCATGGATACGTCAGTTCCATGCGATATTCTGAGTTGCAGTTCTGTGTTTTGACGACATCGCTGTATAGCATTTTTCTCCCACACTAATCTCTTCGATGAAGAGGAAAGAGTAACCTTGTGATTTTTAGAGAACTTTTGTTGTTACTAAACAACTTTATTTGTAGTAGTCGGTGAGAAGGACAGATGTTTATTGACTTTAGGGGACAAACTACTAAAAGTATTTATTACGTATTATTTGTGATGGACGGTAAGAAAACGTTGTTTGCAGTTATCCGTCTGAAGTCATTTGTTCTGTGTGTTTTATCAGTTAATGGTAGGAGCTAATTGTAAAATGAAATAGATGACATTTTCGGTTTGATTGATGGAGAATGCGAGACCGTACAATTCACAACATATTACTACAAACTTTTCAGGCTGTTTTGTTTGATCGAGACAATATTTGAGTGAAACATTCATGATTAAATGTTGATTTGACACAAGATAATCTCCAAACACCAGTAATGCTATTTAGTCACACACTCAAGTAATGTGTAATGTGCATGATAAAAGTGAACGTTATTTGAGTTGAAGAATTAAAAGTCAATAGTTTTGAAGTGAGCTAAACTGTGGATGGTTTGATTGAAATGAAATATCAAGTTTCCACCAGGAAATTCTAAAATATCATGGATGTTGTGTGTACTTTGTTGGGAGTAAAATGCACTTGTTCAAATCATTTCATTGAAATCTTAAAATGCCGTCCTACACTTTGTCAAGAAATATCCAAACACTCTGGTATCTGGATTGAAATTTGTATTTCATTCTAATGTTATTTGCTCTTTTCATAACATTAGTATAGATGTGCTTTTTATATATAACTAGTAACCATTTGTGGACACATTGTAAATTATCATATCTAAGTAAGTTTGTATTTTGCTTGCATCTACCAGAGAATAGAAAAATGACGTGAAACCATGATGACTACATGATTTTTCAGTGATTCCGATTTGCAGTGATAAAACGATGGAAACAGTGGGAAGTGGTGCAGTCGGCATTGCGTAATTCGATTTTGCGTTTAATGGAGACCTGTTTTAGTCTCTAAAATGTGATAAATATATATTAGGGATGATAGAAATGTCACTAATCGATTACAGAACAGGTCAGTTTGTGTGTGTAATGAATAGTTTAGCAGAAAATTGTCTATCGTGAGTTGTAGTGATTTGTTGTGGAGATAGAATTATAATCAGTGATACAAGATTGTGCTGGAACCAGTTTGTGATGTATGGCGACAAATTTATCATAAAACATTTAGAACCCGATTATTGCTAATAATTATTGTTACGTTTCGACCTTCTTGAACTGGGATCATTCTTCCAATTTATCTGGTGTTTATTTCTCTCAATATAATATTGTTTTTAGAAAACGGAATTTCTGCACTATGTTTATTGATCAATCACTGTGTTAGTTTCCAGTAAATATAACTAGAACTATAATTGTTTTCTATCTTCGCACTCAAATTTGACTCTTGTTCAATTCATGCTTCATTTTGCCATTCATTCTTCGTTACTCAATTATATTGATTTCCATAGTTTTTTTCATGGAATATTGGCTGATGAAATTGTTTACGTTA